ATAATGCAGTTTAAAAGTATTAGTCATAATAATTAATGGATATTTTTTTTCTAGTAACTTGGTGTTTGTACTTTTCCTTTTTTATTTTTTTATTTTTTGTAATTGTAAAGTCACGCGTTTAAATTTAATTTTTTTGCAACGGTAAATAGATTTTTGATAAAAATAAATAGAGCATTTAATTATAAAGTGCATCTGCGAATGGGACGATTTATATGTCAGGCTACTACTGTATCACTTGACTGTATGATTAATATAGTTTTCTTTTTGTTACAGGTGATCTTCGTTGGATTAAGCAGCAAACCAATCACCGTTTTTTATAATACATGTTTAAATGCATTTCTGAAGGCACACACATATTTTTTCACTAAATATGAAATATCTATATTTAAAAATCCATAATAAATATAATATTGAATATTGGCACAGATTTACAAAAGATTTTAAATATGTTTTTTAAGAAAATGTTTAATCTAATAACATATCTGTTTCAGATTTAATTTTGAGATGATTCTGGTTAGGTGATAAGTTGACTTGTAGCTTGTAGGTAGTTCTGTTTTCTTTGATATTTTTATAGTTTATAATATATGTTAGAGTCGATAATTTATCAACAGTTGATAAATAATTTTTACCGATAAACATTAATTTTTTTATAAGGTCTCTATCTTATCATCAAATGTTATTTTTTTTGCTATTTAAAAAAGATGAATTATAAATTTTAATAGATAGATTTTATATTTGGGGTAATTCCAGAGTGAATTTTTTGGCTATAATTGTAACATTTTTTCAAACTATAATATTAACTTTTATTTTTGGGTTTTATGGAAAATAAAAAATGAAATAAATATTAATCAAATGTATTTACATAGTATCGTAATATATTTTGTAATAAATTAATATTAGATTTACTTGCATCATTTAAATTTGTTGTTATTACGTAAATATGAAGTTATTAATCTATATGTGGGATAGGTTAATATATAATACGCGTTTTAGTTATATTCATAATATTTATTTTGTTTCTCAAATTTGTAAATTCGAATGTTGATTAATATTTAATTCAATTAAATCTTCGCTTACATGACGTGAACATTAATCGAATTAAATATCGTCGAAGTTCCTTTTGTAAATTAGACGCGATGAATTTATTTTTTTAAATAACGAAAGCAGTTAGATAGAATATTATTTTGGAAATTTATTTAATTAGAATCAAATGCTTTTCATATAGAAAGCTTTGAAAATGTATTATAATGGAATGATTAAAAGATGATAATTTTTCTCGAATTATTCGATACTTGAATAATGAAATAATAGTGTATCAAACTGCTTTATAAAGTAGTACAGTACTTGTGCCTACTTAGGAACTGTATATCTAATATATATACATGTGTAGGTAAAACATAGTTAGGTACATGATCTCTTGAAATGATTCTCGAGTAGTATTTACTTCTATCGATGTACCACAATGCAGATATTTTATTACAACACTTTTAATAATCATTTTCATTATCAGAATAATATTATTTAAATTAATTTATTATTATAATGTATTGAATAACATTAGATGGAAGACATAGGTGATAGATGAAAGTTTTTTTTTATCGTGTATTCGGTTGGTGTTCATTGTTCAATGAAAAATGATTGATTAAATAAAAATTTGTAAGAAAGAAAATAAGAAAAATTCTAATAATGTAATGGAAGTATGAATTTATTCGTTAAGAAAAAAGTACTCGAGGGATTTTAATAATCTAGGTGTCTATGCAAAATGAATAAGTAACTACACTTGTTACTTACTTCGGGAAAGTTTTATTGAGTACCTATACTTGTATATAAGTACTGAATTACAAGTACCTTAAGCAACACTGCAATTAGATATTACGTCTTAAGAGAAAATTTATAATTTATGTTTTATATTTTTTCGAAGTTTTTCTTTGTATCATCCGCAAAGACACAACTCGGATGCGTATCGCGTATTTTATGAAATTTAATTTTCTACTCAAATGTAAAATGAAATAGAAGAAGATAATAATAATAATAACTTGTTAATCTTCGTAATTTATTTTTTTAATAGAGAATTAAGCTTGAATTAAATTTTGCAATAACATAGAGTCATTCTTTTTAAGTATGCTAATGCATATAAGACAAACGGATTATGGATTTACGTTGTTTACGTATAAAGAAAGTAGTATCTTTATTTTCTTTTTATTTTTTTTTTGTATATCAAAAGAATACGAGAAATAATTATAAAATAATTATTTTGTTCCATTTGTGATGTTTTTGTTGGAATATTTGAAGTCATATCGTTAAAGATTCGCAATGAATGAAAATATAATAATAAGTATTATTTAAAAAATATAATATATATATATATGTATATATATTTAATTGTGTTTGGTCCTTGCATCTCTTGTTAATTCTAATATTGTTTTGTTTAAAGGGTGTTTAAGGTACATTGCATTTCTTCCATCATTTTTTAAAAGAATGTTCCCATTGGTTTCATCGGAAGTCTACATTTTTCGTATCGTTGAATATTTATAAACATTGAACAATTTCATAAATAAGTAAAAGAATTACCAATTTTTTTTTTATATTAATTAATAAATAATTCTATTTATTTACAATAAAACGCAAATTTGCAATTAGCCCGTTAGAAAGTAAAACGCGAATACTTTGTCGTTAAAATTATTGTTAATTATTATTAAAATAATTTCTGTTTTTGAAACTTTGGATAGTTTAATAATCTAAGTTTTTCATTCGTCGATGTTTACCGTTTCTTTTTTTTTAATTTTTTTCTTTATTTTCGTTATTTGAATTCTATTTCTAAAACACTTTCGTACGTCGCTATGATTTCTTATTTCTTGTTATTATTTGTATGTTTATCAGTATCTTACTTACAAATGTTTTCTTTGTCGTTTAAACGTTTTCTTTCTTTATTATTTTTTGTCGAATCTTCATCGATTTCTTTCAGGTACACAAACGGTAATTACCATAGTAATCAAGTACAGAGTTAAAATGTGACACACCTCTTCTTTCACTCGCTTGGCACGGTAATTGTGCTACATTTAACAAAGCTATCCCTTAATGTCATAATATTTCTTACTACTTATAATAATAATAATAATACGAGTATTTATTATTATCCAATTAGAGGTATAATTCTACTTTTTCTCGTTTCTATATTATTTGTTTTAAAGTTGAAGAAAATGTCATAGTTTATTGTTAATCCGAGACGCAATTTCATCGATAGTATTTTTGATATTTTTGTTAATCCTCTGATTTTAATCATCTACGCATCGCAAACCTTTGTGAGTTTGACTACAAACTCAAATCCTACTATATCACAGTATCCATCTCACCATTTAACTACACATCATCATTTTTATTAATTCTCTTTGGTCAAAATACGTGTACTTAGATGTAGAATTCGAGAAAATAATTGGGCCGTTGGTACACGAGCTCTAATCTTTGAGCTATCCAAGGCCCATATTTTATTTGTAATATGGATGTATTCCAATCCACGTACTACATACATACATTCGTAAAAATACAAAGTGTTAGTTATATCTATGATTTGAATGATTTAGGCTTAAACCAGTACTGCACCGTCAGTTTTATTTTCCATGATAAGATCAAAAGTTGGTGTTGAAATATCGGTAGGTGTTGGTACAGCTAATGGCGCCAAACGAATCATTTTTTTCGGATCTTTGTAAGGTCGCATTCTAATTTTCATAGGATTAACCAATGGCGATAATTCTGATACCAAATTCGTCCCATTATTTTCAGTATAATTGTTACTAAATACGGATTCGGTTGATTTGCTTTGTTCGTTCAAGATTGAAGAACTTTTTAAATTAATCGCTGAAATAGAATTGTAAACTTGAGGTAAATCGGTTTGGGTTAGGTTAGTTTCCGGTGAAAAATCGGCCAAGTCGTTTTCATCGAAAGACGTGAAAATATCTGAGTCAGGTACCGAAGGTGCATCGAAAAAAGATTCCCGTAATGACGAGGTCAATGGTTCCGGACATATAAACGGGTCTAAAGATGTTAGGTCGTTCAAATCGCTACCACTGTTGCAAGTTTGAAAGTCGTTAACCGAATAAGAGGATGGAAATGTTTGGTGTTCGTTTGCGGATGTTAAAATTTCTTGACTTTTCGACGATTCCGACCATTTGGAATCTGACGGTCGTCTTGAGTTGAATCTCGTCGAATCGTGTTCACCGAATATCGGCTCGGCTAATTTATTATCTCGGGATTTTTCTAAATTTCGTAATAACGCTTCGAACAATTGCATAGGTTCTTTCGGTTCTTTCGGTTCTTTCGATTCTATCGTTAACATTTCTTTATTTGGAAGATTAATTGATTCGTTGGGTTCGCTGAAGTCTTCTATGTTCAATAAAATAGACGGTAACGTGGGATCCGAATGTCGTATTGGACTTTTTCTATGATTCGATTCGAGTTCGATGTTATTTCTTTGTGAGCTTTCGAAATGATTTAAATTCTTTGAATCCTCCTCTTGCAAAGAGGATAAAGGTACCGATTCCAATGGACTAGGTGGTTCCGAGTGTATTATAGGAATCGTTAATCCTTCTATAACATTTGGATACCGCGAAAATGCTTTATCGATTTTTCCTTCAATTCGGTTGACCGACTCTGAGTGTTTCAGTTCTATGTTTATTCGAGGTTGAGATAATCGATAGGAGGAGGAGGAGGAGGATGCTGATAAATTTGTCTCATGTCGTATGTTGTTCTTTGATATGCTCGACGATAAACTGGACGGTGCTTTGTGGACGACGTATTTTGGCTCGAAACAAATTAACGTAGGCTGTTTGTTACAGTTAACGTTGATACTGTTAGAAGATAATTTACAATTCGGACTTCCTAACAAACTACGTTTAAACAAATTATCGGTTGTTGTTGTTGGTAGAGAGGAGTAACTGTTGTGAATACTTATGTCTATGATGTTATCGGTTAAACCTAATCGTGGTCGTCGTGTACGAATTCGCGGATAAACATTTTTTCTCGTTTGATTTTCCGTTTGTTGTTGATGTTCTAATCGATTTTGTTCTACATTACGTCCATCATCCAATTTGTTCTCATTTAAATTCTGAACAGAATATCTGTACGCTAGTTCAGACTTGTTTCTATTAGCTTGGAATATTCTCAAGTTAACTTCCGATGTAATACCACCACTAGCTGTCTTTATATTCGGATAGGACATCGATGATAGATTGGAATTTACACGTTTATCCATATCCATATCCTCCTTCATCGTTGCAGCAGTCCTTTCATCGACATCCAGCGTCTCGTCAAAGTGCTTTGATTGACAATCGCCAGCTGCCGGATTGTTCGCAGCGTTCAATAATGGATCTGACATTGCACTAGACCGAAAGAATTTTCTATTACCGCTACAATCGGAATTAAGATTTTGATAGGATATGAATTTAGGTTCGGACCATTTTTTTGAAAAATTTTTACTCAATAATCTTTTACGATTGAGACGTCTCAAATGTCTTATTTTACCAAACGTTGGATCTAACAGGTATTTGAGATTTTTTATTTTATCGATGTTATGATTAGAATCGATAATGTGATTCCTGTCGATGATATATTTTGGATCTAACATTTTTTTTAAATCTTCTATACCCTCCTCGACAATATCGTTGGGATAACATTTTGATGACGAACTTAAATCGCTTTCATTTCTTTCCGGTGAAATATCTGATTGTCTTCCCGACATTTCCAAACAACGTTTGCTCGAATATAATGTGCTGCTAATATGCGGTTTTGCTGCAAAACAATTTTCAACGTGGTGTCTTCTAATGTCGTTGATGTTGTTCACCTCGGCCAATTCGAGATTTCCATTCGAGACACGTCGAGCAGGTGAACATCCGCCATATCGACTGGGTGTAACACCAAACAAAGCGACTAAGTCCTCAGCTATTTTTCCTGCAGCTATTCGCATCTCACCGTGATGAAACGCATAAATCCAGGGATTTGCACCGCTATGGGCGAGAATTAGCAAACCAAACCATATGACCGTCCATTCCGAAAGGAAATTCGTCTCGTAAAAAATGTCGAGCAGCATGCACATCTGAAACGATAATTAAAACAAATTTTCGAAACATTTGTTCAAAATCAAATTTATTTTTTTTCATTGAAATTGATACTCGTATATTTTTGATTTAGTATTATGGTTGAATGGAAAATATCTTTATTGTTATTTCGTTTATTTTCATATAAAATAAATTCCAATTCGTGTGAGAATGGTTTTCAGAGAATAAAGGCAACTGAAGAAAAGAAAATGTTATTCGATTTGAACAAAAAAAAAAAATGTCTAAATGGAATTACTTTGAAGCAGTGTTAGAAATATTTATGGAAATTCGCTGCATAAAGCATTGTATTAATTTTTTTTCCCTTCTTTCCTTCCTTCCTTCTTTCGTCATCGTCGTCGTCGTCGTTCTATAGAAAAATCTAACAAGAGATGTAATATCAGTTTTACAGTATTTTTGGGGGAAGTAGCTAACTTTGTTTCGTTTTGCTTTTAAAAGATGCTCGTCTACTATTGCGCATGAATTTCTTTTGAGGTCGTTGACAGAACAGTTGATTTTGCTTCAATCGTACGTTGCCCTCATATTTACTCCCCCTTTTTATTCTTCACATCGACGATTCGAAATAAAGTACACACATATATACATATACATATATACATTTTAATCCAATAAAAATCTTTCAACAAATATTTCAGATATTTTATTAAATCAACTGATGTATAAACATAGATTAAATTTCATTAAAATTCAGAATAATTTTTCAATTGATTATAAAAGACACGACTACTGATGTAAAAGATAAATGAATGAATATTTATGAATATTAATAAAATATTTACTTACTTGGAATGGAAGCCAAAGTAGGAAAAAAGTTCCTACGGTTATGGCCAAGATTTGACCATAGCGTGGTAGTGGCAAAGTTTGCGTTTGATGTCGGAATGATAATTCTACCGTATAAATGGCACGTGCATGAGCGCGTGCTACCAAGTAGACGTACATATAGCAACCCAGAAGTACAAGGGCGCTTGGAGCCCAAACTACTATGACCAGGAAAATCCTTACAGGTGGCAAAACAGCTGCTCTGAATCTACAACCTCCGCTACGACGTAAAATAAATTAATCTTTTATTCTCATTTTTTCTCACACACATAATTTAAAAGAAAGATTTGATGATAACCTCTAATAAATTCATGCGATTGTTTAATTCATTTAATTATTAATAATTTGATACCTATGGGTTTGAGTAAGACCCATGATTTGTGTGTAGATCAATGGTGATAGTCCAACGCAGATCGCATAAATCCAAAATATTGCGATAAACTTTTCGATGTTGCTGTGAGTTATGATGTTCTTGTATCTCAATGGTTGTGCCAATGATGTCAAACGATCAACAGCTATTGCCACAGTGACCAGTACGCTTACGCTACAAAGTGCGATCACTATGCAATACGGAATGATGCAAAGCGTTGATGTACCGTTTTCTGGTAGGCCAGAAAGTTCTAACTGCATACCAAACGGCATGAACACTCCGACCTTTGTCAAAAGCAAATATCGATTTCGAATGTTCAGGTTTTTTTTTTCTTTTTTTTTTGTTACATGCTAGACGATAATGGAGCCTTCGATCGTCGATGAGAAATTCTATTTTTATGGGAAATTTATTGAAGAAAATATTCAAATATATCGTTGAATACTCTGATAACATTTAACACTCATTATTATTAGCTTCTCATTTAGTATATGACGTTAATTATTATAATGAATTAAATGAAAAATATTACAAAAATTATTTATTTTTTTTAATTAAAATCATTTCTACCAAAAATATATAATTTCAATGTTTTAACTTGGCTTATTGTAATTTCCGGTGAGGTGAATTAACAAATTTTGAATTTCAACAAAAATTACTTTCATTTCATTATTTTATATAAAAGTTATAGTTTGAACGAAAAAATGGTTTTCATGTTAGGTTCTAAACTTTTCAACTATAACCCACGTATAAATTTCTAATCGAGTGATTATTTTATAAGTTGTAAAACATGTTTTCAGAAATTATCATTAAATAACTAATCTGATTTTATTTGATCAGTAATATTTATCGGTCACATACGTGTGAGTGATATATAACAAATTTTGAATCTTAATAACAATTATTCTATTTTATTTTATATAAAAGTTAGTTCTACCAAAAAAATGGTTTCCATGTTAGGTTCAAATCAAGTTGTAGAAAATGTTTGTAGGAATTATCATTAATTAATCTTCGAATAATAGAAATGATTTAATTAGTTTTTGACTGATCAAAGGCACACATGATAAATTCTATATACAAGCTAGTATTAATCTCTGTATTTTCTATTACCAGGTAACAATTTTACTAGGATGTTCTAGTCGAATTATTATAGTACGTCGAATTTATTGATTGTTATTTTGTAACGAATTAGTGCTGAACCATTTGTATTCAAGCTCCATAAGATCCATTCATTGACGTCATATCCAGTAGAAGATAAATCAGACGCCATAGTTAATTGGTTAATGAACACCCTTTATATTTCTGGTGTACATATATGCATTGAAGTGTTTTTATTTGAATATATTGTGTATATTACTGTATCGTGAATATGTGTCCTTCATCGACGATCGAATGGATCGAAAATCAATGTAATGGTCTTACCCCAAAATCACTGATGGCCAGTGATACGAGAAGACAGTTGGAGGCCGTTCTAAGTCTTTTGTATCTATAGAAGGCTGCTAAAATGATCGAGTTTCCTGTTACAGTTATCGGTGATAGGATGCAAACTATTGAGACTGCTAGTACAACCGAGATTGGACTGATGTCCAGTCTTGTATCGATTCTGGTCACTGTAGGTATAAGGGTGGTCGTCAATTCATCGGCAATTGTGCTAGCTAACGACTCCGTAGCGATCCCTGACATTGTCATTCCTTTGAGACAATGTGTGTCCCTCTATTGGTGTACACGTTTATGTATGTGTTCGTATTTTCGTTTGAGTTTGTTAGCCTTCCGTCTTGTACTTCTTTTATTTCGCCCACAACACGACGTCCTTCAAGTCAAATTGGGTTCGTAAACGTGTCTTCCGTATAACGCCATGTCCTTACCAATGAAAATTTCTGAATCGATGAAAGTATCAACTTACTCCACCCTACTACTAGTAAAATATATCTCCCAGGAATCATGCTTCTTTTCTTTTTTTCTTTCCTTTTCAATCCCCTGTCCTAGATGATTGATCTTCTTCCTTTCTGAAAATTATAATTGATTGATATTTAAGTCGATCKTAATTAATTAAATAGAGGAATTACTTTTTTTTTACATTGAAAAGTATATATTTAATTTATTCAAATAAAATGACTCGAAATGTCACTGATGCATTGATTTGTACTACTTAAAATGCACATATAATGTAAATAATAAAAATAATTCATATTAAAATATAGAATAATAAGATAATCAATTAAATGAGAATTTAATTGGAAGTTATCTGTCATGTTTTTTTGGTACATATATATTGAAATAATATATAAATAAATAAAAATAGACAATAATACTCGTATTATTCGTGGATGAGTTTAACACGGTAAAGCATAAAGTGTCTACCACTTGTTTGGAAGCATTCGGCATTTGTCGAAAAGGGATGGATAATCGTGAATATATACATATCAGACTTGTTGAAATTCATCTGCACGAAAATCAAGTCTCCACTCTATTATCTCGTATTTGCAATTCGAATGTATTTGAATGCATCTGAATCCACGCAGTGTACCGTAAACGTTATTTTTCGAGATGGTTTGAATTTGGAATCTATTTAAAATCATGCTTGTGCACTCTTGAAAACCACCGACGTTTATCGCCTACTACTATTTCTTTTTTCATTCGTAAACCTTCTGAAAACGTTTAATTAATTTGCGTACGTGGGATGACTCCTCTCCGTTAGAAAACGTGAGTTTTCTGGTTTTCATTAACCAACTATCTCTCTTTGCAACACACCGAATGCAATTAAGTTAAGGGCAGTTCACTTTCCGTTTCTTTCTTTTTTTATTTTTTTTTATTTGTTTTTCCTTTTTATGTATTATTATTATTATTATTATTTGCGTGCTATCACTATAATACAAGGTATTATTTATTTTTTTCTTCATTCACGATTGCAATAACCTCCTTATCAACGTTTGCTTTTTACTTGGATACGAAACAAATGATAATAAACTAAATATAATTTGAGTAATGTTAATTTTGTTCAAATTTTGGAAGGTATGTATTAAGCTTTAATGGAAAGAGAAGAGCTTTAAGGTATAGATGAGCTTTACGATTTTAACTCTGAGAATATCAAAGTTTATCTTCATTATAATGATGTACCTATCGTAAATTGTTAAGCATTTCTGAGAGAGAGTTTACGCATAACCAAAGACTTGCAAAATGAATTTATACCTATCACACTTGTGTTATAGTAAAGAAACGTTAAATATCAATATTGTTTACTTAATATAACATGTATGAAGGAACATTTTTAACATAGTTTTCTTTAGAATATTTTACAAATATTTTCACGTTATTTTCTTCTCACACGCATATTTGCTAAAAAATATTTTTTTTTCGAGTTTTAGGGACAAGTAAAAAATTTGTCATAAATTTCATAGTTTTGTGAATAATCAGTTGTTTTTTCCTATAATTTAAAAAACTATTTTTCCTCTAGAACTTCATCGTGAAAAGTTTGAAACGATTACTGGATCTTATAAAGTTCGAAACGAAGAGTAGAAAAGCCTCGATCGAATTTCTCGGTTAACTGAACTTTATAAATTATTTAATACCTAGTCGTCTATTATCGATGACTCGTCAATGATGCTCTTTCTCTTAAGAGTTGACAGTTTGACGTTTTAATAACTGTGTTCGAAAATAACTCATAAAAAAGCCCGTGTCCTTCGCTAGTGTTGCATCCCATGTATTTATTACGTGTATGTATATATGTACTTATGAAAAATTGTAAATTTCTATAAAAATATATAAAAATATGTATATATATATATATAACTTTAATGATCGTACGTTTATGCAGTCAAATGTCGCCAGTAATATTTATGAAGAATTAATTTAAAAAAAACTTTCGTATATGTTTAATATCTTGTTTTGTTTTTACAATAAGAGAAAAATGAATTATTACACTAATGAAAACTTAATTTTAATGATTTATTACTTTACTCGTGTTTTCAAATCATTTCTTCGTAAAATGAATTTTTTAAATTTCAATCCTCGTTCCTGTTTCAAGTTGAAACACGATATTTTATCCTTGAAATAAAAATGAAACTTTCAAGAAAAATATTTGTAAATTATTTCTTTGACGAACCGAAAAAAGAAAGAATCCAAAGTTATCGTCCCAGGTTCAATTTTTCTTGTGTGTATCTTTTTTTTTCTCTGATTATTTTTCTAAAAATATTAATTGAACCGTGTTTTACCTATGAATAAATTTCACGAGTGAAAAAAAAACAAAAGAAACAAAAAACAGAAAAAACTTTTTAACGACGTATCCGTGTTTTTTATATCGAATTTTGTTAAATATGGACGTGTTAAAAGTAATTTTTATTTTTTTTTTTATTTTCGTATGATAGAAAAGTAAGCATGTGAAATTGTCCGAATTTCGATCGACAGATTTGTCGAAGCATATGCGTGTGAGTAAGTGTGTGTGTGTGTGTGTTCTATTGAACCATGAAATGGAATTGGAATTCTTATCGTGAAATATCGAGATATTTCTTCTTTGAATCCGTGGATATAATATTTTTCTGACGATATGGTGTCAATAAATTCTACTGTATTGAGCTTTTGGCAAAAAAAGAGAAAAAAAAGAGATTAGACTCGTATAAAGATGAAATTCTTTAGAAAAAAAAAAAAAAAAAGAAAAAAAAAGGGAAAAGAGAAATGTGCAATAAAAATTCATATTATTTGAAAGTATGCTAACGAAGTATCATTCTCTCGATAATTATTCTCTCTTTTGTTTTTTTGAATAATTAAACGTCAACTAAAAGTTTAAGAATAAATGAACTATGAAATAAATTGCAAAGATAAATTTCGATGAAATCGATAAATTGAAATTTATTCGTTTATATTCGTAAAGTTCGTATTTGAATCCTTTGAACTTGTTACGTAACATCTGGGTCGCGCGACGATAATATTTATTTATTACTATTGTTCTTCATTAATTTCTCTAATAATTATTTTTATTTATTATACGGTTCATACTTCAAAGTTTGGGAAAATTTTACAAAAATAAATTCGTATAATTAAAAAGTTTTTAAATATTTTAATATAATTATAAATTTGATATAAATAAATATTTTCTATATTTTATTCATGTAATCTAATCCAAGTAGAATTTGATTTAAAAGAAAAATGAATACAATTTGACGAGTAATTAGTAATGAATATAAAATTTTATTTCATCAAGGATTAAAATAAACGTTAATGAATATATCAATAATTATTCGAACCTCCTTTGTTTTCAAACCCCATTAAATAATGAGCGTTAATTATACGTTGTAGAAATTGATGATGAACGATACAATAAATTGAGAAGATGACGGGAACGTCGTGTTTAGATGGAATCAATAAAGTTGAACTTATTTGTTAAGGTCGTAGAATTTCTGACACGTGACAACATCGTTGTTAATTAAACCCAAAACACATTCGTAGATATCGATCTTTACGGTATTTCCTAAGGAATTTCAGTTTCGCCATCATTTGACCTAAAATGTTCATCAAATGTTTCGAATGTGTGTCTTCTCCTACTGTCAGATATTTCATATATGTATACAGGGTGATCTGTAACTGTTGGTACAAACGAAACATTTTTATTCTATATTTTCGATTTATTTTGTTATTTAGAATCACCCTCTTTTCGCTTGTACCACCAGTTACAGATCACCCTGTATATGTGTTGATTCGTGGGTGTGTATCATTTACTTACACAGCGTTTTGAGTATCGTTTAAAAGACTCTTTTGGTTTTTCTTATTAGAACAAAGAAAAGCAGCTTTACTGAGTGTTTTATAAACTTTGTAATAAGAAAATGAGTTGTGTGTACTTGACATGTTGACTTTTTCTATCCTCATTTTTCTAAGTATTGCCTTGTATCATATTATATATATCCGCGTTTTTTTCCAACTGATAAAATATACGGGAAAATATTTTCTTTCTTATTTTTCCTAAATAGGGAAAATATTTTATAATTTTATAAAAGGTTGTATATGGTTTTTTTTTTTTTTAAGTATTAGTAGATAACAATTTTCATTATATTTTTGTAGTTTTATAATCAAATTATAGTGCAGAGATTAAAATATTTTAGAATTGTTTTACCGATTTAGGATTTCCTATTTTTCTGAGAATATTTTTATAATGTGAAAATAAAAAAAAAGTATGTATAGGTAGTTTTATTAGTATAGTTTTACACGATAACACCTACGACAAATATGTTCACTCATTGAACTGATGCGGGACACGATGCTTTGCTTCTTCTTTATTTTCTTTCTTTCTTTTTTTTTTTTATTTTTTTTTTTCTAGGTCGATAAAGATCATACCCGCATTGACGGTACCTTGAGGGTATATTTAAGGGTTCTCTTGCGTGCATTGAACCTTTTTACTACGCAAAATATTGATTTCACTTCAAGGTACACACAATAAGTTCCGTCGTTCTTTTTATCTTTGTTGATTTTTCTTTGAACTTGTGTTAAACATTTTATTGTGTAAAAATATCAATCTTTGATAATAATATTTGTCAAAAGTTAAGTTAATTTTTATTAATGAGAGATCGAACAAAAATATATCGAGAAATGATTTGAATGTTGATAAAATGTGTGAGAAAATGAACGAAGATAAATTCTAATCAATTTTTAATTAAATACGAACAAATTTAGCTTCTGTTCTTTTTGTTTGTTTCTTCTTATATTTTATATCGTTTTATTAAATATACGTGTTTGCATGTAAACGTTGATAATTATTCATTGTAAAAAGATAATTAAAATGATATCAATTAACGTTAAAGAATTTCTTTGACTTCTTCTTCTTCTTTTTCATATTTCTCGTCACGATTATAACTTTTTAAAATTTGACCATTATTATTATTATTATGAATAATTAATAAACGATCGAATGTATTTTACACAAAAATGCAAATTTCACGCGAAATTAAATAAAGTTGGTTGGCTTTAGGAAATAATTTGTTTGGCTTATCTCATTTTTGGTTTTTTGACTTTTTTGTAT